ACATGGAAAGGAACAACCAGTACCAGCTACTGCAAAAACATACCAAATTGTAAAGACCATTGACACTATGAAGAAATTGCATCAACTAATGGGCAAAACAACCAGCTAGCATCATAATGGCAAGACCAAATTCACTTCTATTATTTTTTAAATATCACACATAATATTTACCTTAAATAATGGGCTAAATGTCCCAATTAAAAGACACAGACTGGCAAATTCGAAGAAGTGTCAAGACCCATCAGTGTGCTGTATTCAGGAGACCCATCTCACATGCAAAGACACACATAGGCTCAAAAGGAACGGAGGAAGATTTACCAACAAATTGAAAGCGAAAAACAAACAAACAAACAAACAAACAAAAAACAGCAAGCATTGCATTCCTAGTCTCTCGTAAGACAAACTTTAAGCCAACAAAGATCAAAAGAGACAAAGAAGGGCATTACGTAATGGTAAAGGGATCAATGCAACAAGAAGATCTAACTATTCTGAATATATATGCACCCAGTACAGAAGCACCCAGATTCATAAAGCAAGTTCTTAGAGACTTACAAAGAGACTTAGACTCCCTTACAATAATAGTGGGAGACTTTAATATGCCACTGTCGATATTAGACAGATCAATGAGACAGAAAATTAAAAAAAGATAGTCAAGACTCGAACTCAGATCTGGAGCAAGTGAACCTAATAGACATCTACAAAACTCTCCACCTCAAATCAACAGAATATACATTCTTCTTGGCATCACATCACAGTTATTCTAAAACTGACCACATAATTGGAAGTAAAACACTCCTCAGCAAATGCAAAATAACAGAAATCATAACAAACAGTCCACAGCGCAATCAAATGAGAATTCAGGATTAAGAAACTCACTCAAAACTGCACAACCACATGGGAACTGAACAACCTGCTCCTGAATGACTACTGGATAAATAATGAAATAAAGGGAGAAATAAAGATGTTCTTTAAAACCAATGAGAATTAAGGCACAATATACCAGAATCTCTGGGACACATTTAAAGCAGTGAGCAGAGGGAAATTTATAGCAGTAAGTGCCCACATGAGAAGCAAGGAAAGATCCAAAATCAATACCCTAATGTCATGAGTAAAAGAACTAGAGGCGCAAGAATCAACAAATTTAAAAGCTAGCAGAAGTCAAGAAATAACTAAGCTCAGAGCAGAACTGAGGGAGGCAGAGACAGGAAAAACCCTTCAAAAAAATCAATGAATCCAGGAGTTGGTTTTTTGAAAAGATCAACAAAATATTAGCCAGACTAATAAAAAAGAAAAGAGAGAAGAATCAAATAGTTGCAATAAAAAATGATAAAGAGGATATCACCACTGATCCCACAGAAATACAAGCTACCATTAGAGAATACTGTAAACACCTCTATACAAATAAACCAAAAAATCTATAAGAATGGATAAATTCCTGGACACTTACACCCTCCCATGACTAAACAAGGAAGAAGTTTATTCACTGAATAGAGCAATAACAAGGTCTGAAATTGAGGTAGCAATTAATAGCCTACCAACCAAAAAAAAAAAAAAAAATACAGGACCAGATGGGTTCACAGTCAAATTCTACCAGAGGTACAAAGAGGAGCTGGTACCATTCCTTCTGAAACTATTCCAAACAATACAAAAAGAGGAAATCCTCTCTAACTCATTTTATGAGACTAACATCATCCTGATACCAAAACCTGGCAGAGACACAACTAAAAAAGAAAATTTCAGGCCAATGTCTATGATGAACATTGATGTGAAAATCTGCAATAAAATACTGGCAAACCGAATGCAACAGCACATCAAAATCTTACCCATCATGATCAAGTTGGCTTTATCCCTGGGATACAAGGCTGGTACAATATAGGCAAATCTATAAATGTAATCCATCACATAAACAGAACCAAAGACAAAAACCACATGATTATCTCAGTAGATGCAGAGAAGGCCTTTGACAAAATTTAGCAGCACTTTATGCTAAAAACTCTCAATAAACTAAGTATTGATGGAAAGTATCTCAAAATAATGTCTTATTTATGACAAACCCACAGCTAATATCACACTGTATGGGTGAAAACTGGAAGCATTCCCTTTGAAAACCAGCACAAGACAAGGATACCCTCTCTCATCACTCCTATTCAGCATAGTATTGGATGTTCTGGCAATCAAGCAAGAAAAAGAAATAAAGGATATTGAATTAGGAAAAGAGGAAGTCAAATTGTCTGTATTTGAGATGACATGATTGTGTATTTAGAAGACCCCATCGTCACAGCCCAAAATTTTCTTAAGATGATAAGCAACTTCAGCAAAGTCTCAGGATATAAAATCAATGTGCAAAAATCACAAGCATTCCTATACACCACTAACAGACAAACAGAGAGCCAAATCATGAGTGAACTCCCATTCATAATTGCTACAAGGAGAATAAAATATCTGGGAATACAACTAACAAGGGACGTGAAGGACCTCTTAAAGGAGAACTATAAACCACTGCTCAAGGAAATAAGAGAGGACACAAACAGATGGAAAAACATTCCATGCTCATAATTAGGAAGATTTAATATTGTGAAAATGGCCATACTGTCCAAAGTAATTTATAGATTTGATTATATCCCCATCAAGCTACCATTTACTTTCTTCACAGAAATGGAAAAAAAAAAAACAAAAAACACCTTAAATTATATATGGAACCAAAAAAAGAGCCCACACAGCCACGACAATTCTAAGTAAAAACAAACAAACAAACAAAAAACAAAGCTAGAGGCATCATACTACCTGACTTCAAACTATTCTGCAAGTCTACAGTAATCAAAACAGCATGGTACAGGTTCTGAAACAGAGATATAGAACAATGGAACAAGACGGAGGCCTGAGAAATAACACCACACATCTACAACAATCTGATCTTTGACAAACCTGACAAAAATAAGCAATGGGGAAAGGATCCCCTATTTAATAAATGGTATTGGGAAAGCTGGCTAGCCATATGCAGAAAGCTGGAACTGGATCCCTTCCTTATACCTTATACAAACATTAACTCCAGATGGATTAAAGATTTAAACATAAGACCTAACACCATAAAAACGCTGGAAGTATACTTAGGCAATAGCATTCAGGACATAGGCATAGGCAAGGATTGCATGACTAAAATACCAAAAGCAATGGCAACAAAAGCCAAAATAGACAGATGGCATCTAATTAAACTAGAGAGCTTTTGCACAGCAAAAGAAACTCTCATTAAAGTGAACCAGCAACCAAGAGAATGGAAAAAATTTTGGCAATCTACCCATCTGACAAAGGGCTATTATTTAGAATCCACAAACAACTTAAACAAAATTGCAAGAAAAAACCAAACAGCCCCATCAAAAAGTGGGCAAAGGATATGAACAGACACTTCTCAAAAGAAGACATTTACACAGCCAACAAACATATGAAAAAAATCTCATCATCACTGGTCATTAGAGAAATGCAAATCAAAACCACATTGAGATACCACATGCCAGTTAGAATGGCAATCATTAAAAAATCAGGAGACATTGCCAGGTATGGTGTCTCACGCCTGTAATCCAGCACTTTGGGAGGCCAAGGCGGGCAGATCACAAGGAGAAGTTTGAGACCAGTCTGGCAGCATGGTGAAACCCCATCTCTACTAAAAATACAAAAATTAGCCAGGCATGGTGATGTGTGCCTTTAATCCTAGCTACTCGATGGGTGGTTGGTGGTGGGGGGGGGTTGAGGTAGGAGAATCACTTGAACCCAGGAGGCAAAGGTTGCAGTCAGCTGAGATTGTGCCACTGCACTTCAGCCTGAGCAACAGAACAAGACTACATCTCAAAAAAAAAAAAAAAAAAAAAAAAAAAAAAAAAAAAATCAGGAGACAACAGATGCTGGAGAGGATGTGGAGTAATAGGAACGCTTTTACACTGTTGGTAGGAGTGTAAATTAGTTCAACCATTGTGGAAGACAGTGTGGCAATTCCTCAAGGATCTAGAAGTTTAAATACCATTTGACCCAGCAATCCCATTACTGGTTATGTATATACCCAGGATAATAAATCATTCTATTACAAGGAAGGCATACATATGTTTATTGCAGCACTGTTTATAATAACAAAGACTTGGAACCAATTCAAGTGCCCATCAATGTTAGACTGGATAAAAAAAAATGTGGCACATATACACCATGGAATACTACGCAGCCATAAAAAAGGATGAGTTCATGTCATTTGCAGGGACATGGATGAAGCTGGAAACCATCATTCTCAGCAAACTGACACAAGAACAAAATACCAACCACCTCATGTTCTTACTCAAAGTGGGTGTTGAACAACGAGAACACATGGACACAGGGAGGGGAGCATCACACACTGGGGCCTTTCAGGGGCTGGGGGTCTAGGGGAGGGATAGCAGGGGGGTGAGGGGCTTGGAGTGGGATAACATTAGGAGAAATACCCAATGTAGCTGATGGGGTGATGGATCCAGCAAACCACCATGGCACGTGTATACCTATGTAACAAACCTGCACATTCTGCACATGTACCACAGAACTTAAAGTATAATAATAATAATAAAGAACAGAAATACAACATGAATATCCACTATCACCCTTTCTCTTTAAGGTTGTTTGGAAAGCTGAGCCCTAACATGAGAAAAGTTCAAAGAGAGAGAGAGAAAGAGACGGGGGAAGAGAGAGAGAGAGAGAGAGAGAGAGAGAGAGAGAGAGAGAGAGAGAGACAGAGAGAGACAGAGAGAGAGAAGAATTGAATAGAAAGGAACAAAATTCTTATTATTTGCCAAATGATACAACTGTCTACATAGAAAATTAATCTGTAAAAACCTATCATAATTAGTAAAATTGTATAGCATGTTTGCTAAATAATTTCAATTAACAAAAACCAGTATTATAATGTACTTGTAATGCAGTAAAACGTAAAGATACCATTTACAATCATAATGAAAATATAATACTCAGGATGAAACCTAAACAAAAAAAAATTCTAGATCTCTGTATAAGATGATTTGCTTTAGCTTAAGATCCATCAGTGAGAATTATCCATGGGCAATGTCCAGAAATCACATTATTTCTCATCAACCTTGTAGCCTTGATATAATGGAGAGCTTTACACTGTCTTCCATAGGAAGCTGGGATGGTTTCTGAATATTGGGACCCATTGTGCACCTGTGCTCAAATATGCCCTAAGACTTTTACCTAAGACTTTCCTCAGTATCCACTGGTCATCCAGAAGAATAAACTCCTGAGAGACAACAAGTTATGACCTCTCCTCTGTTAGTACAGAGGTAAATGCATCTTTGTGGAACAATTTACAATCTTTTTAACGAAAAAACATGATTTTGATCATTGAACAGCATGTTCTTGTAAACTTTTAGTGTTACGATGCAAGATCTAATTATCAATGTAGTGATACTTGTTCCAGAAACTAAAATGGTTTCAGTTATGCCTTGGGTCAGGGTGACAGAAAAGCTCTATTGTTTAGATCTTTAGCTTATGGAACACATATCTCTTATTTTTTTTTCCTCAGGGTCTTCTGTAGCTTTTGTATCTCATTTTGAAGTCGGGTGCTTTCACCTTGGCATCTCTCTTTCAGTAGTTGAGTCTGTTCCTAAAAAGAAACAAATGGAGGCTAAATACGTGTACCATTAAGTAAATCTCTGTGAGCTATCTAGTTTCCACATGCATTGATTTATTTAGTACTTAATTTTTTCTTGAAATTTTCTCTACCCTTGATTTTCATTATAGTATTCCTTGGGCAGTTGAGCTCCGTGATTATTTCTCCTGGGGTTTCTATAGCCAAAGGAGTTGCAGCTTATGTCTTCTGCTCTATTGATGAAGGTCTTGGTTTTTTTCTTCTGTTAATTATACAAAACCTTTGTGGGCAATCTTAATAATATATTTGATTTCAGATCTTCCTTATGCATTATAGACTTTTTAATACACCTGCCTACACACATATTATTATATATACACATAATACAGAAATAAGGTATTCTCAAAATATGATGTATATGAATCTTAGATCAGGAAATTTGATCTAAGTCTCTACTCTCTGGTGGCAGGGGTAGCAGAAGATAGATAAGGAAATCCCAGTGCCAGACTTACCATATAGAATTTATGCATATAGCTCCCAACTCAACACAAACTGTGAGTAGGGCACAGAAAACATGCAAGAGTGTTAGACTGTCCTACAAGTGTGAGGGTTAGGGAGTCCTTCTACTCATAAAAGTTCTTTTAGAGCCAAACTCGTACTAGATGGGATAGAAAAAAATATTACTGTGGATTCCACTAAGTGATGAAGCTGGGTCAGATATTTACTAGCTGTGTGACCCTATAAAAGTTATTTAATATTTTCTGAATCTCTGTTTCCTCTCCTAAGTAATAGGGATAAAGTTCTTTCTTCATATGGTATTAAGCGAGAGATATAGATAAGGTATTGTTATGATGCCTAGCATATGACAGTCATGATAAGTGGAAGGGTGTACTAAAAAAGGACTGAATGTGACACCCTGCAAATAAATTTTTAGTGACCACATGTAGGTAGTGGCCAGTTCCATTCAGACAGACAGAAATAAGAAAGTACAGGTAAGCAAGTAGAATCCTTCCCCTGGGCTTTATGTTCTCTCTGCCATAGTAAGTTTGTGATCAAGAAGAATCGAGAGAAAACAGAAAAACAGAAACTACAAGGTGATACAATTAGATACCTGAAGTTTACTAGTAAGAGTCCTCTCTTGCTCTTCCAGCAACTCGGCCCTCTCCCTCTCCATCTTTTCAGTCAATTGCTTCACATGTTCTTGGTAATCCTTCTCTTTCTCTTCCATCATCTGCTGATACTTTATTTGCATTTCCTCTACCATATTTGCTGAAACCTGTGCAGATTCAGCTTTCACACGTTCTGCTGTGAAGGAAAAAGAAGAAAAATTTGTGTGAGGCTATCTTGTTGCCTCATTCTTCCTTACACACTTATCTGTCATTGTTGCTGCTGACCACATATGCCCTTCTCAGAGATGACCTCAGCAGGTAAGACACATCTTGCTTTAGTTTATGGAACTTAGGTTTATCCAGTCAAATTATTTAAAATTTGAAGAGCTTTAGGATAATCTGATCCTTTGACTTGCTCCTCACCTTCAATCTCCTTTTCCTTTTCTGTGAGAGTCTGGTCTGTCTGTAGAATTGCATCAGTCATAGACTCCTTGGATTTCAAGAATGTCTGCAGAATCTCTTCAGCCTTAGACCCAGAGAACACAGAGTGAGAAATGGGAAATGGCTGTAAGCAGGTGTTACTGTTTGTCTGCTCACCATCTTTTCTTCTGGAATTCGTCCTCTTTGCCCTGGTGTATACAGTGGTCAAGATTCCCTATCGCAGGTGCAGATACATGCTCCAAGCTGGCCAATCAGATTACCCTACTTAGCAGAGTCTTATTTAAGAGGATGGTATAGATACTGGGAAATAGGGCTCCCTGTCCTTTTCAAATTGAGGGCTCTAAATGTGGTTCCATATGGCTGAGCTTGCTGGAGAATGAAGTCCTCCTTAGCAGAGCAAATCAGAGTGATTCAGATAGAGGGAGGAAGAGAGGGAGAGAACTGTGGGGATTCGGGGAGGACATCAGGCAGAGAGACAAATCACCACATTATTTGAAATCTTGTATCCAGATGTCCTTTAAATCCAGTTTGAAGTGTAAAATGATAAATTATCTTTTTTTTTTTTTTTTTTTTTAAGTAACCATCATTGGGTTTCTGTGTCTTGGAACAGAAAAAATCCAGCTTTAACGATCATGAAAACAACTTGGCGGTTAATCTGATAATTGAGTTTATAACTCAATAGTTAATTAACTGCACTCTCTAATTAATTAATTAATTAAAAATTTTTTTTTTTGAGACGGAGTTTCGCTCTTGCTACCCAGGCTGGTGTGCAATGGCGCGATCTCGGCTCACCGCAACCTCCGCCTCCTGGGTTCAGGCAATTCTCCTGCCTCAGCCTCCTGAGCAGCTGGGATTACAGGCACGTGCCACCATGCCCAGCTAATTTTTTGTATTTTTAGTAGAGACGGGGTTTCACCATGTTGACCGGGATGGTCTCGATCTCTCGACCTCGTGATCCACCCGCCTCGGCCTCCCAAAGTGCTGGGATTACAGGCTTGAGCCACCGTGCCCGGCAATTAATGAATTTTTAAAAGACAGAGTGTGGCTCTGTTGCCCAGGCTAGAGTGCTGTGCAGTCTTTGCTCACTGAACCTCTACCTACTGGGCTCAAGTAATTCTCTGCCTTCTGAGTAGCTGGGACTACAGGCATGTGCCACAGTGCCTGGCTAAATTTTATATTCTTAGTAGAGACAGGTTTTACCATGTTGCCCAGACTGGTCTTAAACTCCTGAGCTCAAGTAATCAGCCCACCTCCACCTCCCAAAGTGTTAGGATTACAGGCTTTGAGCCACCATGCCTGCTGACTGCATTCTTTTTGATGAGCACTTGGGACATATCTGGTATAACAGCCTCTTTGCATATGTTATTGAATGAAAGTGTGAATGTTATGCAGACAGAAAAGCACATCTGTGTGCAATGAAGCTTGGTCACCTTGGAGTTTGCAGGAGGCAGGTCAGCAGCTTTCCATAAATGGCAGATGAATTTTGGTTACCTGTATCCCCTTCCTCGGTTCCTCATGGTACTTTTTCTTCAGGTCTTGTAGCTTCTGAGTAAAGAGACGATAGCCCCCTGGTTTAGAATAAATTCCCGCCTTCATTTCTTCTTCTAGAGGACTGAAAATGTCCTGAAGTAAAGCTGAGCAACGATCCGATGATGCTTTCCGATTCTGTTCACAAAAGTCATCCCGCTTTTTGTCTAGCTGTGCCTTTAATGTAAAAACAGGAAGTAAAAAGAGTAACAGGAAAAGGATGCTGGCTTGACCTCAGAATTTCAGGAAAGACTTCTGAAAATAAAAAGTCAGTGACTCTGGAGAAACTGACAGGCTCCCCAGCAGGACCACACTCTTCCTCCTGACCCCACTCTCTACTGAAGTTGCTTTCTCCTTGGAGGTGGGTTTCATGGCGGAGATTGATAGCTTTATGTCAACTGTTAGAGGAAAACTCTTTTTCATATTGGAGTAATGATGTTATATGGAATAAATGTGGCTGAACAGAAGCTTGCTCAAGATAACTAGGATGAAAATTTTCTTTGCATTTGGCTAGAATATCAAATCATTCTGAGAAGAGTGGGCAGGTAGTTTGATTAGAAGCTTTGAATGTCAGTTACATGCATTTAATAAAGAAAAGAGCATTTATGGATAAGCAATGTTTTTGAACTTTGAATCTGAAGTAATAAAATTGTGGGTTTTTTTTGTTTTTTGTTTTTTTGTTTTTTGTTTTTTGTTTTTTGTTTTTTTTTCTGATTATCATGATTACCAAGAGCTGGCTGTCACCATTTTAAAATCTGGATTAACTATTTCTCTCAAAATAAATGCCAATTTCATTTCTTAGTAGTACTTTGGCTTCCATGACCCTAAACCATATAAATTTGACACAAAAATTACCGCTAATTCCTTTTGAAATAGATGGTCCACATCTTTGAAGGAACTCCTGATGAAGACTTCGATGGCCTCTCTCTCACTGTCCCTGTGCAAGTCCAGCAGCTCCTGGAGGGTTTCCGTGGGCAGCTGCACCTTCTGGCCCATCTGCTGTTCGTAGTGGGCAACGGCTTTTTGCACTGCAGCTGAGTTCTCTATCTGGGCCAAGGCCAGGACTGCGTTCTCCATGCAGGGCAGATCCCCGCTGCTGATTGCACTGACATAGGTCAGCACCAGGCTCTCTAGACCTACATATGGAGAACAAATGATAAATGTTTCTTGTACTAAAGAAAACTCCCTATTCTGTGTTATTCTGAACGTGTCAATCGCCACCTGTTTTTTCTTACAGCATCAATGTCCTCAGCATCACCTGGGAGCTTGCTGGAAATGCAGATTGTCAGCCTCTGCCCCAGATCTACTGAATTAGAGTTTTTTATTTGGGTAAGATCCTCAGATGATATGTATGCCTATCAACATTTGAGAATCCTTGTTCTAGATGACATAGGCCTGTTGTAGTTGAATGTTTGCATTCATTTTAACCCCAAGCACCATCAGGAAAGGAAACTATAGCTATTTCATTTATGACTGTATCTTCAGCCTCATAGTAGCATTTAATCAATACTTATGGAACAAGTGATACTCTCCTAATCAAAAGAAGTCCTCCATTTGGTTTATTTTATCACAGCATCGTCCAAGAAAACTTTCTGTAATCATGGAAGTTTTCTGTATGTACTGTTCAGTATGCTAGGCACTAAGTACATGTAGATATAAGCCTTTGAAATATAGCCAAGTGAATTGACTTTAAAATTTTCCTTATTTTAATTAATTTACATTTACATTTAGATAGCCCCACTTGTCTAGCGGCCACTGTATTGTACAGTGCAGGCCCAGTTTACTGTGGCAAATTTAAGTAATTAAACACTTTTCCTTTGCTTTTTCTATCTTTTCCCACCAAGAAACTGACTAACAAAATCTATTAGAAATGTTGGTGCCATCTAGAATTTAACATAGAGGTAACAATAGATTCGGATTTTTCAATACTGAAACTAGGTGGAGTTATTTCATGCTCCTTTTTTTTTTTTTTTTTTTTTTTCCCTCTGTCACCCAGGCTGGAGTGCTGTGGCACCATCTCGTTTCACTGCAACCTCTACCTCCTGCGTTCAAGCAATTCTCCTGCCTCAGCCCCCCAAGTAGCTGGGATTACAAGCAAGTGCCACCATGTCTGGCTAATTTTTTTAATTTTTTAATTTTTTTATTTTTTTTATTTTTAGTGGAGACACAGTTTTGCCATGCTGGCGAGGCTGGTCTTGAACTCCTGGCCCCAAGTGTTCCTCCCGCCTTGGCCTCCCAAAGTGCTGAGATTAGAGGTGTGAGCCACCATGCCTGGCCATCCTTTAGTTTTAACAATGAGTGGAAGTACTAGAGAGGGGACTTACATGGGCCGTTGACCTTGATGCCTCCTGAAAGAGTTTTAGTTTTGGAATTGGTAAAGATGTAGGAACAGAAGTCTGCTACTTGTCGCACAAATTCGGAGTCCAGCTCTTCATCACGTAGTTTCTCGAGCTGGGCAAGCTTCTTGCGATTAACAGGTCGATCAAAGACAAAGCATTTCTTCTTTGGGAAGACCTTCTGGATACAGAGTCGGGGCAGATTAAAATTTTTATCTTTTTCACTGGTACCTAGAGAAACATAATAAAGAAATTTGCCTAATATAAATTTTTCTGTAAAGGGTCAAGTAGTAAATATTTTAGGCTCTGCAGGCTAAGTGGTCTCTTTTCCAAGTACTCAACTCTGTTATTGGAGTGCATGACAACAACTTTAGACAATACGTAAATGAATAGTCATAGCATTCCTCCCAAAAAATCTCATTTACAAATACAGCTGGTCGGCACAATTGGCCATTATTTGTCTTAGGCTGCGGTTTGCCAACAGTTGGACTAGTACACTGTTCATATTTAATCCATGTTCTTTAAATAAATATCTATTGTCCTTCATATTTTAGGCTAAATACAGAATGACAAACCCTACATATAGAGATAAAATTTACCTAAATTATAAAGTAGGGAAAAATGAAAGAAAGAGAAATTTATTTTAGAACAAGGGAGAATATAATTAAAAATCTAATCTATTAATTCAGATATGCAGCAAGCATTAATTCCTTTTTTCCTTTTTTTAAAAAAAGTCTGTGCTATTGCTAATAGCAAGCATTCATTCTTAAGAATAGCAAGTTAGAGATATAGAAAAGTGTAAATGTAAGAAAACTATCAATAGTAAACTAAAAAATGATAATTTCCAGTGTTTTGTCATCCTCATTTATCAATGGTATATTCCTGTTACCTTGCTTCAGTTTCAGGGAGTACTCCAGGTACTCATCTGCTGTGAGGGATTGTCCATGTACTTCCAAGTCCAGGGAGAAATCTCTCAATGTCCACACAAAATCTGGGAAGAAGCTCACAAAATCAGCTGAATCCTCAACCTCATAGTTATTCTCACCAGGTGAGGATTTTGATTGGGTTTGTTCTGTGAGCTCTGTCACATAGCTGAGCAGCTAACTAAGGAAATGTGGCAAAATGAGCAGGGACCTTATCCCATATTATTTCAACATACTCCCAAACCTTCCATTTTCCTTTGCTCTTAACCTGTCAAGTCTAAAGTGGATACATGGAATCTCTTCCCTGTACTTGCATTATTTTTTATGTTTTCTCCTTTTGAGCTTGATTGATGAGGATCCACAGGCAGCTTGTTTATGAATACTGGTGTCCCTCTGACCTTGGTGTTGTTCTGAGTCACAAAAGGATACTGCAGTTGGTCTATGGCCTGCTGGTTGATGGTTCCCATGCTATTGTACACAAAGGTGCTGCTCAGGAGGATGGCCAGGGTGAAGATCCAGGAGTCATTCTGGTTGTCACCCTAGAAGTCAAGACACATTTAGGTCAGGAGCAAGCTTCATTGTCAGAGCACTTTTCAGAGTAATAGTAGTAAAAGTGTATCATAAGTTAGAATTTTCTTTGATGACTAATGACCTATGAAAAGAACCCAAATCCAGGCGAAATGATTGTTATTTGGATATGGAATCTGTAAAGGTTTTTTGATTAGCATTTTTTGGTATACACTGATTCTCACTAGGTCCTCTTACGATCATTGGCAGATAATTGCAAAACAAACATTCAAGATTGGTAGGCATTCTAAGGCTTGAAATACAATTTAAATTTGCTCAGGCTACCGCATTATAAGTTCTCTGCAGGATAAGACTCCTGACATTGGATTTATTTGTGCTCCCTTATACATTTGTGTTAACTCATGTAGCTTACAACCTGTAATTAGTAGAATACTGTCTGTTGACCACCATACTCTGCTAGAATTCTGTCTTATGAATATTTTCTCACTTCTGGTTGCTAAGTTTGGCCTTATGACATGTACACAGAAATGAAAAGATAAATTAGAGTCAAAAGCAAACTCTTTAAGAAAAAACAAAATATTCAGAGATAAAATATTTAATAAAATACTAAATATTTAAGAAATAAAGAGATAAAGAGATAATATATCAGTGCATAAAATATTCAGTGATGAGGCATTATTCCAGAATTGAATCTTTGACCCTTACCTTCTTTATATCTCCCAGGCCCTCAGTGTCAAGCAGGACTAGGGTGTGTCCTGGCTTCTTGGGGTGAGGCACACACTACATCCAGATTCCTTTGGTGTGAGATTTCACTGTGGAGCCCAGAGAGAAGCCTGCAAAGGAGAGATGGGGTAAGAAGAGCTGGAGATTTAATAATACGTGCTTCTGAAATTTGAGGCAAATGTAGCATCATAATTAATGTTAAGAGAGATAACCGAAACCACAATCAGTACTTACCTTACTTATAATCAGAAAAATAGGAAAATTTGAATATCCAATATGTAAATGGATTCAGGACCTTGCATAATAAAAACAACCAACAAATTAGAAATAGAAAAAACTGAGGCAGGAGAATCACTTGAACCTAGGAGGTAGAGGTTGCAGTGAGCCAAGATCACACCCTCCAGCCTGGGCAACAAAGTGAGACTCCATCTCAAAAAAAAAATAAAAGGAAATAGAAACAAAACAAAACAAAACAAAACTACCTCAACAAAATAAAAGACACATATGAAAAATCCACAGCCCACTTCGCACTCAATAGTGAAGACTGAAAATTTTCCTCTAATGCTAGGAACAAGCAAAAGATGCCCACTTTTGCTGTTTCTTTTCCACAAAGTACTAGAGGTCCCATCCAGAGTAATCAGGTGAGAAAAGGAAACAGAAAGCATCTAAATTGGAAAGGAAGATGTAAGTTAATCTCTATTCATGGATGACATGTTCTATCCAGAAAACCTTAAATATTACACAGAACTGTTAGAACTAATAAAAAGAATTCAGCAAAGTTGCAGCATGCAAAATCAACATGCAAAACTCAGTTGCATCTCTATACAGTAGCAATGAGCAATCTGAAAAGGAAATTTTGAAAACAATCCCACTTAACATAGCACCAAAAGGGCAAACTACTTAAGAATAAACTTAACCATAGAGGGGAATGGCTTTTATAATGAAAATTACAAAACTTTTTCTTTTTTTGAGACAGAGTCTTACTCTGTTAGCCAGGCTGGACTGCAATCACTGCTCACTATAGCCTTAACCTCCCAGGCTCGAGCAATCCTCCCACTTCAGCCTCCCAATTAGTTGAGACTAAAGGTATCTGCCACCAGGCTCAGCTAATTTTTGTATCTTTTGTAGAGATGGGATTTCCTCATGTTGTCCAGTTTTGTCTCAAATTCTTGAGCTCAAGTGATCTGCTTGCCTCAGCCTCCCAAAGTACTGAGATTACAGATGTGAACCACTGTGCTTGGCCAAACCTGGGTGAAAGAGTGAGACTCTCTCTCAAAAAAAGAAAAAATTGAAAATAACAAATGTTGGTGAGTCTGAAGAGAAATTAGAACCCTTGTGCATTTCTGTTGGGAATGTAAAGTGGTACAGTCACTGTGGAAAACGATATAGCAATTCCTTAAAAAATTTAATGGAATGACTGTATGAGCCAGCAATTCCACTTCTGGGTATAAACCTAAAAGAAGTGAAAGCAAGGTCTTGAACAGATATGCAGGCACCCATGATCCTATCAGCATTATTTATAATACCCAAGGGGTGGAAGCGAGCCAAGTGCCGATTGACAGGCGAACAGATAAATTAGTATACACATACAATGACTCAGTCTTAAAAAGGAAGAATTTGGACACATGCTACCACACTGATGAACCTTGGAGACATTATATGAATTAAAATAAGCCAGTCACCAAAGGACAAATATTGAATTACTCCACTTGTATAACATTCCTAGAGTAGTCAAATTAATAGAGATGGAATGTAGAATTGTGGTAGGAGATGGGTATAGGTAGGGCTTTTGTTTAATTGGCACAGAGTTTCTGTTAGGGAAGATTAAGAAGTTCTGGAAATAGATGGTGGTGATAGTTGCACAACAATTTGAATTTAATTAATACCACAGAACTACATACTTAATAATGGTTACAAGGGTAAAATTTATATTTTTATATATATATTAAAACAATAAAAGAGAATATCCAATACATACTGAAATGTTTTTTTAATCTTAAAGATCAGTGTACATTTGTTTTTACTATATGAACATAGGCAGGCAATCTCTTGAGCCCAGGAGTTTGAGAGCAGCATGGGCAACATGGCGAAACCGCGTCTCTACAAAAAATACAAAAATTAGGCAGGTGTGCTGGCCTGCACCTGCAGTCCTGCCTACTCAGGAGGCTGAGGTGAGAGGATTGCTTGAGCCCAGGAAGTCAAGGCTGTGGTGAGCTGATATCTTGCCATTGCACGCCAGTCTGGGGCTTAGAGCAAGACCTTGTCTCAAGAAAAAAAAGAAAAGACTAGTCAAGTGCAGTCAGTAGTGAGAAGGGTGAGAGGAAAGTGTAGAACAAGGAGTTCAACTGTAACTGATGGTGAACAATCAATTGCGATAACTCACTACCTTCAGAGCAGCCATGAGCTGACTCCTAACCCCTAGAAGAGTGAAGATAAGGAGCCCAACTGTGAATTGAAAATTAGCTTATCATTCCCAGCACCAGCTTTCTTTCCTCACATCCTCATAATGGATGCTGACTTTGTGAAGGGACAGAAGGGCTTGGCAGAGCTTTGCTGGTGTCACTCACCCTTGTTATTCCCAGCCAGCCTGTTCATCAAGTAGGATTTGCCTGTGCGGTAGAGGCCCACGATCGCCACCACCACCACAGGCTGCGTAATGGCAGACAGGATCTTCAGAGCTTCTGGATTCGTCACCGGTCGCCTGTTAGTGTTCTCAATAAGGCATATTGGACCTGTCTGGTGGATCTCTGACGCCATGTCCAGGGCGTTGTTCTCTTGTCTGCAAAGGAAGAGATGGAATGAATTAGAATTTCCAGTCTTTTGCATTTAAGGAATAGAGTCACAAAATTCCCCAGGATGGCCAAAAGTTTTGTGTCAGTAAGAGAGATGAGGAAAAATGTGTATCATTTTTAAAAATTATGGAAGTATTGTCATCAAAGTAAATATTAGTATGACAGTAACTTATCAACAGTCAACTATTCTTGTGGTCTAGTACTTTCATTTAATTCATTGCGGAAAACCTTCCCTTGGATTCTTATTAAAAATTTTATAGTAGACAATAAATGAAAGATCAAATAGGACTTAGATAATTTTTTTTATATCCTGGCTATATGTAAGAAATTCAATATTGATGTTTATTCATGAATTCTATGGTGAATAAAGACCCCCATGAATAAATGTTTCATTGACATACACTCTTAGGACAATTTCCAGGGATTTTTAAATGTGTTCCTTTCTCCATCTCCAACTGGTTATGCTTATTTCACTGCAATGAGGATCCACAAAGCTTCTCACAGTGCCATTCTGGAAGTGGAACCAATGTAATATGCTTCTGCAAATTTTATAGAACTACATAATCATGTGAAACACATGGCTAGGGACCTTTCCAAGGGCTTTGAAGGGGCATGTGCAAGAGAAGGGCCCTGAAACTTAAGCTTCATTAGTGTCACGATAAGGTAGCCTCTAACTCAGTGGGGGTATGAATGCAAAACTGCCAATACTGAATGTTGTCAAGAAACACACACACACACACACACACACACACACACACACACACACACACACAGAGCAAAACAAAAAACAAACAAAAAAATCTCATGAAATAAGAATTAAAAGACCGGGAGGCCCATAAAGAGAACTACATGGGAAGTTGTTAAAAGAAAATATATTTCCAGCAATACAGCTTTAGGTTTTCTGGTTTTTTTTTTCCATTTTGTAGAGTAGGAGAAAGAGAAATAGGAAGAGGAGAAATAGAAGTGGGGAGGGGGAGAAGAAGGAGAAGGGACTGGAAAGGTGAGAGAGAGAGAGCACGCGTGAGTGCACTCCAGTAAGCGCCAGCAAGTGAACTGTCAGACAAGGTGATGAATGAGGCTAGTGGTTTGTCAAGAAATTCAGGGGAGGAGTTTCCAGAAGGCGGGATCCAAGTTAAGTCTGAGTGCATGGAAGAGGTTAAGGTTAGCAAAGATACTGGCTTTAATAGTGGTGCACTACAAGAGAATTACATAGGAAAATTAGTCTACTGCCTTCTCTTAAAAAAAAAAAATAAAAAAAAAAAATAAAAAAAGGAGGAAGCTCTTTAGTCTGGATTGTTTCTAGAGAAATAACCTGAAACAAAGTTCAAATGTGTAATAAAAAGTATGCTGTTTTCATGAATCTTCCTCTTTCATGTTTGGTTTCAGTTTCTTTCTTTGTCTTTAACAGTGTCAGCCAGCCGCTTACTCTGCTTCTCATTTACTGTTCTTTTTTTCTCTTGAAAAGAATCCATTAATAGCTTTCCATTTCCCGGCTGCTGTAGGAGCAGGATTTAGCAAGCTCCATTACTGACAATAGAATTGTAATCGTGTCCCTAGTCAACACAAACAATGTCAACAAAGAGAAAGACCATCCTAGTGCATTTCAAACTCTTAGTTCCTGTCTGCTGGTGCCTAATTCAACACAATCACTGTGGCACTTAGAGCCATGCCGCTCCTGATAGCACCAGAATTTCATCTGACCTGTGTCCCATGTCAGGCTCAACTGGAGCCTAATTTGGTCCTGGTCATTTTTAAGGAAACTAACCGACCTTTATAAATTCCTTCCCATCCCCGCCACAACCTTACAGGCTCAATGTCTCTGAGCTGAGGTACTTCAGGGCTGGAGAGGAAGCAATTGGAGTTTTTACCTGTTCTTTTCTCTTCAGTCCAGGTAAAGTTGTTTCTGTCACTGGATGCCTGGACTTTTATTTCACTCCTCCAGTGTTGTGTAGTTTTCTGGATTTTCCTCAGTGATCAAATAATTAGAAGGTAAGCCACCTTTGTAATGGCGTCAGAGCCTAATGAAACTGAAAGTACTTCTTTCACGGCACTGATTCATTAACCACAAATACAATTTCTGGTCTCTGCTAGTAGGAGGGGTAATTATGAAGTTTGGAGATATGTTAGTCAGCTTGCTCTTTTCTGCCCGTGGATACCACCAAAGAAGCATCATTGAAGTCTCTCTTCTCCCTGTGGTCATATCTAAGTCAGAGTCTACTTAACGGCCCGAACAGGGGAGAAAGCTCTTCATTGGAGGGTTGAGCTTTGGAACAATGGATGAAAGCCTGAGGAGCCATTTTGAGCAATGGGGAACACTCATGGACTGTGTGGCAATGAGAGATCCAAACACCAAGCACTCCAGGGGCTTTGGGTTTGTCACATATGCCACTGTGGAGGAGGTGGATACAGCCATGAATGCAAGGCCACGCAAGGTGGACGGAAGATTTGTGGAACCAAAGAGAGCTGTCTCAAGAGAAGATTCTCAAATACCAGGTGCCCATGTAACTGTGAAAAAGATATTTATTGGCGGCATTAAAGAAGACATTGAAGAACATCACCTAAGAGATTATTTTGAACACAATGGAAAAACTGAAGTGATTGAAATCATGATTTACCGAGGCAGTGGCTAGAAAAGGGGCTTTGCCTTTGTAACCTTTGATGATCATGAATCTTTGGATAAGATCGTCATTCAGAAATACCATACTGTGAATGGCCACAACTGTGAAGTTAGGAAAGCCCTGTCAAAGCAGAAGATGGCTAGTTCTTCATCCAGCCAAAGAGGTTGAAGTGGTTCTGGAAAATTTGATGATGATTGTGGAGGTAGTTTAGGTGGGAATGACAACTTGTTGTGGAGGAAATTTCAGTGGTTGTGGTGGCTTTGGTGGCAGTCATAGTGATGGTGGATATGGTGGCAGTGGGGATGGATATAATAGATTTGGTTATGAAGGAAGCAATTTTGGAGGTGGTGGAAGTTACAACGATTTTGGCAATTATAACCGTCAGTCTTCAAATTTTGGACGCATGAAGGGAAGAAACTTTGGAGGCTGAAGCTGTGGCCCCTATGGTGGTGAAGGCCAATACTTTGCCAAACTAGGAAACCGAGGTGGCTATGGGAATTCCAGTAGCAGCAGTAGTTATGGCAGTGACAGAAGATTTTAATTAGGAAACAAAGCTTAGCAGGAGAGGAGAGCCAGAGAAGTGATAGGGAAGCTACAAGTTATAACAGATTTGTGAACTCAGCCAGGCACAGTGGTGGTAGGGCCTAGCTCCTACAAAGAAGATGTTTTAGGCAAATACTCATGTGTATGGGCAAAAAACTTGAGGACTGTATTTGTGACTAATTGTATAACAGATTGTTTTAATTTCTGTTCTGTGAAAAGTGTAAAGCATTCCAACAGAGGGTTTTAATGTAATTTTTTTGTACCCGTGCTGTTGATTGCTAAATGTGATAGTCTGAATGTGATGCTGAATCAATGTCTTTTTTTTTTTTTTTTAAATATGAAGTTTCAAAGTTTTTTATTGGGAGAGATCTTAGAGACCATTTGTTGTTTTAAAAACATGTCCCTTAGATATTGAAAAAAAATGAAATGTATCTCAAGACTGGAGATCTGTTTGAGAATTGTAGAATGAGGAGGCATCACATTTATTTTTAGGTATAAGTTTCTATAACAAGAGATAATTCACAATGAAGCTGTCTATTCCTTTAGCGGTGCAGCAAGTGAGGAAAGGGCTTGTTTTACCCACTTGTGAATACCTAGCCCCTGGCTCTTAATGGCCAGCACACAGTCAGGAGGGGGCTCCATGCATTGTACTCATGTTCCAGGCTCAGTGCTGAGTGCTTTACATGAAATAACTACTTAAATCTCATAACAAATATTTCCCTATGATTTTATAGAAACGAAGGCATAGGAAGACTTTATCAGTTGTCTTAAACTCATAGCACTATAACAAACCCTCTTCTTGAACCACCTTACTATGCTGCTTGTTTGGTGAGTGAATAATTGTAAAAATATTTAATTTGTAGATGTCTCTCTTTTTTAATTTAGTATACTATAACTTGATTTTTCATGAATTATTTTCTAAGAGCTTCAAATGTTATGTGTCTATTTCATTCATGACTACTTACATACAGAACAGGTGATATTAGCTCTGTTTTACAGTAAAAACAAATTATAGCCCTGCAAAGGACATGATCTCTTTCCTTTTTATGGCTGCATAGTTAACAGCTGGAATACTGTATCTCCTTCTTGGAGGGAAAACAGTATGTAACACTCTTTAGACCTTTCCTTGCAAGAGTAACATGGATATGTGTCTTTAAGAAGCAAATATTAATGGTTAATATCTGATTTTCTCTGCCTATCTACTTTATTGGGAAATGATAGAAGGTTGATTCAGGACTGATGGAACGCTTTGATGTCATTCTTGAAGCTCTTTAAGGTGAGGAATTGGAGCACTCTGTGTTGGGACTACTTACTTGTGCGTTGTCCCTGAGGTAATAAACATTATTCACAAATTTTAAAATGTTCACACCATTATGAGATCATGATTAGTATATCCCAGAACTAAAAGTCTGCATATGGTGTTTAGTTAGGAAATAATGCTAACAAGGACAGATATTTTTTTACAAGCCATCGTTTTCCAACTGAATGAATATTGAAGGAACTCGTAAAATATGTTAAAGACTCCACGGAGCTTATGAAGTCTTGAGTTTGTTTTTAAGTCAACGTAAATAAAATAAAAGCACTCACCAAAGTCATGAAGAACATTTATTATCATTTTGAATAAATAGTGGCAATTATTGTATTTTAATTGAGGCTTGCTCTACCTGAGGTCATGATTGAAAGTGAGATTCCTGGAATAATGGATATTTCATAAGAATCATGAAGCTATTTACTAAATTTGATTCACTTTTACATGACTACTTGGAAAAAATGTCAAAATCAAAAAAAGACCAATGTGTCATCTGTATCCAAAATAGAGTAAGATGAATCAATCAAAACAAAAAAATAGAAAAATATTTATAAGAAAAGCCAGATCCTCAAATACTGATTAGTATTGTAAGTTTTTAGTGAGCTCAGATCAATACTAATCAATTAATGATTATTATGAGTTGAAGGTATTATAGAAAACCCTGAAATTTCATGAATGTTTTCATTTTTTTGCCATCTGAAAATAATCTTTCCATGAGAAAGTGGAATATATATGTTCTGGATGTTTGCAACATTCCATTGACCAGTATTTGTGGACAGCACTATAACTATATCATATGACAATACAGCTATCATGAAAAGTAAAGACAAAGGGTTGCATGCATTTTTTATGTCGTTTATAAGGAAGTAGACTGTGTTGTGTGGTACTCATTCCATTTAGCTCTCTCATTTTTCTTTTTTAAATTTCAGATTGTATCTTGTATTATGGAAATCATTCAGTTTTTCACTGGAGAATAAGCTGAGTTTCTTGAAGTTGCTGGATAATTCAGTTTCTTTCAAGTTATGTTTCCTTTTTGTGTTAATCTTATAGAAGGAATGCTTTAACCACACAGCTCAACTTAAAAAAAAATACTCTAAATGGGATGACTGCTTGTGGCAATGACCAGGAGACGAAAATCTGGAATGGATGGTAGAGGAGGGAGATGATAAACATCAATTATGACCTTGCGACAAGTCGCAGAAGTGAAATCTGGGGCTGTTAACTCCTATGTGTTAAGTCCTTTAGAGAATTGCAGCTGCTCACTAACATGAAGAATTGACAATGGATTGAGTTTAATGTAGGGCACGGTGATCAGAGTGGTGAAGGGGTGAACTATATCAGCTGCATCTGATGCACCGACCCATCCTCTCACACTCTCTTCTCATCCCAGTTGTGGCAGTGCTGGGCAGTTCAAAAGAGGCCTGGACTCATCTCAGTCTTACAGTATGTTACATTGGGTAATATAAAACTGGTATCTGCATAAGAGAGTACAGGGTTTGTGGGACTGGTATACTCACTCTGTAACCTGTCCCCATGGGCCTCTCAAACATGCTGGGCATGTTCATGTCTTAAGCCTATATACCTGCTGTTCCTTTTGTTACTTATGCTGTTTCTCCAGATTCCCAGGCAACCTCCCCTTACTACTTGAGGTCTTTCCTGAATTGCCACCTAATCAATGCTATTTCTGATCCGCTGTGTCAAATTGCTATACTCTAAATTGCCAGCTCTGTCGCTCCCTTATCTCTGCTTCACTTCTGCATGAAAGTTGTGGTTATTTGATGGTCTATATGGTTTACAGTTTTGCTTATTACTTGCTAGAATGTTATATCTCTTGAAAGCAGATATTTTTGTCTAACTGCTCTGTCTTCTCTAGCACCTCAAATCAGTGTCTGACACATAATGAGCCTTTAACAAGTATTCGTCAATTGAATAAGTCAAAACTGTGGAAGTGAACATGTTGGTTAAACATTATGCTCATTTTCAAGATTTTTGACATACATTATAGAATTTTCTTCTGGAAGTATTTGCAGTTCCTCCCACTCCTTCAAGTGTTTATCATGCCTTTCACCTCCTTCCAACCAGGTGGAATCAGGATTTTTAATCTTAACTCCACTACAGGTATAAAATGACATCTTTTCTAAATAAGCAGTTTTAACATTTCAACTGAAAAAGAATATATATTTAGATAATTATTTTCACCACATTTTATCTTGTAGTATGTAGGCTTCCTTGAGCTGATGAAGCCTGAATTAGTGTTACAACAAGAAGTCAAATGGATTTGGTGTCTACTATATGATAGTCATTGTGCTACAGTCTTTACAGCTGTTATCAGTTAACTCCAATTTTCAGTACATACTTATGATGTAGGTAGTACTATTTTCATTTTAAAGACCAGGAAATACAGTTTAAATATGTTGAGTGGCTTTTTTTTTTTTTTATACAGAGTCTAGCTCTGTCGCCCAGGCTGGAGTGCAGTGGCATGATCCTGGTTCACTGCAACCTCCACCTCCCAGATTCCAGCAATTCTCCTGCCTCAGCCTCCCTACAAGTAGCTGAGATTACAGGCATATGCCACCATGCCTGGCTAATTTTT